TGCTCACCACAGTCGTAAAGGACAGCTATCTGCGTTACCATAGACTTGTCTGTCTGTCGGCTTGAACCAGTACAGTCGTTCTCCTCTGACTTCTCTCGACAACAAGGTGTTTCCATCAGTAGAAATGCTGTCTACTAGATGTTGTTTTGGTTTTCGCACCATTCTGAGGAAACTCTAGAGCAGCCATTCTCAACTAGGGTTCCTCCAGGGATAGCTGACCTCCCAATGGTGCCCGTGGAGTTCCAGGTCCAAGGCCACCTGGCAGAGCCAGCAACGTGACTACAAGGGTCTCAATCTGGCCACCCCTGTAAGAGAGGGGTTCCTCACATTTACCCCCACCAATGTAAAACGTATTTTCCAAATGACTCTCCATAGACTAGTGTTACCAGGGGTTCCCTGAGACCATAAAGGCTAAGGCTGCCCATACACTATACAATTTTCTGCCCAGTTTCCTTTAGATTTACCTTGAACTATGTAGTGCAAGGGCCCACCTAATTGGATACAACTGAAAGTGTTGTATAGGTTTGACCTCATATTATATTGTTTTTGGTAAATCTAAACCAAAAATCTCAAGAAAATTGTATAATCTATGGCCAGTCTAAGGGAGGGTATCACGTACCTGGTGATGGAGGCCAATGGAGAGAGGGCTTCCCTTGCGGCTAAGTTCCGGGATCCCCTGAGAGTGGGGACAGCAGGAGTCAGGCCCAAAGTTGCACAGGTCGCCTGTAGGAGTGCTGGTTGGTGGTCCACTCAGAAGCACAGCTGGTGTACGGAGATAGGTCTGCAGATGGGAGGCGCCTGTGCGTGGTATGCAAGCCCTTCCGGGATTTAAATGTTTACTGGGTAGTCAGTTCAAGCCGAGGTCAGGTACCAGGTGGGAATCAGAGCGGACGTAGTCAGATGGGATATCCGAGGTCATTCACAGATGAGGGAGAGAGAGAGTATCCGTAAGCCATGCTGAGGTTAGATCAGGGGTAATCAGAGTAGACGGGTCCAGGAGCAAGCCGAGTCGGTAACAGGAAATCACGGGTCAAGTCACAGAAAACAGGACCCAGGAACAAGGCACGGGGAGCTAGAGATCATCCAGCAACTTGAGAAAGTGATGAGCCTCCTTATAAAGGCCGTCTGGCACCAGACTGAGACTGATGTGTACTTCTGCGGCCATGCAGAGTACTGGCAGAATTGCCAGATCTTCCAGAACCTCTGCCGTGGACAGGACCCTGACAGAGGGGTTCCTCACATTTACCCCCACCAATGTAAAAGGCATTCTCCAAATGATCTCAATAGATTCATCTTACCTGGGGTTTACTGAGACCACAAAGGCTAAGGCTGGCCATACATTATACAATTTTCTTGAGATTTGTGGTTTAGATTTACCAAAAACCATATAATAGGAGGTCAAACCTAACAACACTTTCAATTGTATCCAATTAGGATGGCTCTTGCACTACATAGCTGAAGAAAAATCTAAAGGAAATTGGGCAGAAATTGGGCAGAAAATTGTAGAGTGCATGGCCAGCCCAAGGCTGGCCATACATGGGTCGAAATTCGACCGATTTTTCATCCAAAAATCAGTCCTAAGAATAATCGCCCGATTTTCGCTCTGTTATTGGGTCAATGGCATCGGCCAATTTTCGTGGTTCCTCCCCTTTTCGGTGATCGAGCATGTTTGAAAATTCGTGAAAAATGACCGATTTTCCACTCAATGATGGTGCGATCGTTTTTCCGAAAAGAATATGCGTATGAGCCGTGATCTGGAAGGAACAGAAGTTTCGCCTGTTATATGGGGTGAACTTTATGACTCGGTCGGCCGATTTTCGAAATCAATGATGGCGCCATCGGATTACCGAGCAAACGACGCTTCCAATTTTCCGCCGAAAAATCATTCAGATAATCGTTCACATAATGAGGCCATAGACGGGTCGAAAACCGGCTGCTGTTTTTTAAAAAAAAAAAAAAAACACAAAAATTTGGTCGTTCAATATGCCGACGTTACCACCAACGGTAAAAAAACGGCCGATTTTCGTCCTGTTTACAACCAGCATTTAATTACTTCTGTCCCTTGCAGAGAGCTCTGCTATTATATTTTATATGAAAAGTCTTGCGGTTGTAACAATGTATCCATTTATATCTATTTGTATCCATTTGTATCTATTTGTATCCATTTGTATGTATTTGTATCTATTTGTTTGTATGTATTTGTATCTATTTTTTATCCATTTGTATCTATTTGTATCCATGTGTATCTATTTGTATCCATTTGTATGTATTTGTATCCATTTGTATGTATTTTTATCCATTTGTATCTATTTGTATCCATGTGTATCTATTTGTATCCATTTGTATGTATTTGTATCCATTTGTATGTTTTTTGTATCTATTTTTATCCATTTGTATCTGTCAAGGTCCTACCTTTTCCCTGAGGTTATGTTACTCCATGTGCTGGCGTCCATCTTGGAATTCTGCTGTGCATGGTGGGAATCCTTTTATGCCTTCAGGTCTCTGAGGTCCATCCCCCAGAGGGGTGTAGCTGATGACATATAAGCCTGTGGCCCGCACATGCTCTTTGCACTTGTGTCTTGTGTGTTTGTGTTGCTATTACTCTGTTCTGACTCTCGTGACTCTCCTGGTATCTGATTCGGCTTGTGACTTGACTATTCTTTGTATTCTCCTTTGATCTGACCCTCTGTTGCTGAACCCGGCTCGTGACCTGTGATTCTCGTCTGCTGTTCTGTACTGTTTTGTCCTGTTGTTGTTGACCCCGGCTTGTCTGACTACTCTTTTGTCTCTTCCACCAGCTACACGCCATTGGCGGCGGCCATTACCGCAGCTGAGGTGTCTCGGGGGCCGCGACCTGGTTCCTGGCTGCGTCAAGTCCATCCCCACCATCAGGGGCCCTGGTGAAGGGCAGCCTGGGACTTAGACTCCGCGCCCTGAGGGACTTCGGTCTGTGGGTGGTGGTTGTCGTCAGCCAGTGCGTTACATTGTTAGGCCTGCCTGTCTGTTCCTCGGCCCCTGCCCTGACAGTATCTATTTGTATCCATGTGTATCTATTTGTATCCATTTGTATCCATGTGTATCTATTTGTATCCATGTGTATCTCTTTGTATCCATGTGCATCCATTTGTATCTATTTATTTATCCATGTGCATCTATTTGTATCCATTTTTTGTATGTATTTGTATCCATTTGTATCTATTTTGTATCTATTTTTATCTATTTGTATCCATGTGCATTCTATTTGTATCCATTTGTATGTATTTGTATCCATTTGTATCTATTTGTATCCATTTGTATCTTTTTTTGTATCTATTTGTATCCATGTGTATTTTCTATTTGTATCCATGTTTTATTTTTAGCCATTTGTATTTATTTGTAGCCATTTGTATCATTTTTATTTCGGATACAGATGTTTTTATTCGGATACAAATGGATACATTGTTGCAAACCGCAAGACTTATAAATATAATAAATATAATAGGGGACTGGAATTCTTTGTCGTCTTTTTATTCTTCTTGCAGGTCATGGCTCATGTGCAGATTGTTTATCGGTAAAATGATCGGCCAACTTGCCCATCATTGCTGGGAAAATCAGCCGATCGGCAAAATCGACCGATTTTTTTTTTCCAACTTCACTAATTTTTTTATTTGTGCCAAAACTCTGAAAAACGGCCGACCAATTAACCCATTAACAGTGCAAAAATCAGCCGATTTTTGACCCGTCTATGGCCTGCATAAGGCTAGCCATACACTGTAAAAATTTCTTTACATTTTATTATCCAATTTCCTTTAGATTTACCTTCAACTATTTTAGCGCAAGGGCCCGCCTTTTGGATACAATTAAAAGTGTCGTTCAGGTTTGACCTCCATATTATATGATTTTTGGTAAATCTAAACCAAAATTGTCAAGATTTTTTGTATAGTGTATGGCCAGCCTTTTTTTACACGAGTCGAATTCCATTTAAACAACTTTTCTTTCGAATTCTTTTCTATTGAATTTTCATTCAAACTTTGCACCATTCGTGGGTCACAGAAATGGCGGATTTTCGTTTCGACTGTTCAAAATTTATTTGAATTGATCGGGCATGTTGGAAATTTTTGGAAAAAACGAACGCATTTCGAATCAATGATGGGAGAATCAGGCAAGAAATGTAAACGAAAAAAAGAAATTAGCGTGAGCCGGGGACCTTTTTTTTTTTTTTTTTTTTTTTTTCTTGGCCATTTTTTTTAATTTTCTGTAGTAGAGGTTAAATTGAAGGCTTGGCTGGTTGAATTTCGAAATCAATGGTGGTTTTTTTTTCGGATTACAAAATGCACTTTTTTTTCCGATTTCCTAAAGAAAATTCGTTTGGAATTCGACCCGTGTATGGCCTGCATAAGTTCACTTTTTTTTTTTTCTTCTCTAAAATCCAGCTTTCTATGCCCCAATATACCGTGTTGCATAAATATACACGCCCTCTTTGATCTGGAGAACAATTTTTTTTTTACCTTAGCCTTTGGTAGATTTTTTTTTTTTTAGATTTTTTTTTTTTTTCAATTTTGGAATGTAGACAGAGGACGGAGGAGCCAGTAAGACCAGGAAGCAGCTTAACAGCTGATCTAATTAGCACACACCCTTCATTTTAACAACCAGGGGTGGACTGACAACTCATGGGGCCCCCGGGCAATAGGGGGTCATGGGGCTCCTGTGTCCTTGCCCACACTCAAACCACACCCAAAAAAAAGCCTATGAAAGGTACCAGGGACATCTCATGGGGCCCCCTACTGACCCCGGGACTTCGGGCATCACCTGATGTTTACCCAAATTATTTTTTCACAGCATCCCCGGGATCTCTCCCCACGTGCATTTGCCTGGCTACCCTAGCGTCCCTTCAGATGGGATCAGGCCACATGCAGCCCACAGGACATCCCTAATATATTTTATAGAAAAGATGCTGCTGACCTGTATCTGCATGATTTTGTGTGTTGCCCAACTTCCCAACAGGGGCGGACTGACAACTCATGGGGCCCCCCGGGCAATAGGGGATCATGGGGCCCCTGTGTCCTTGCCCAAACTCAAAAAAGCCTATGAAAAAGGTACCAGGGACATCTCATGGGGCCCGCTACTGACCCCGGGCCCTCGGGATTTGGCCGAATTTCCATTGGTCAGTTCTACGCCTGCTTCCCAATGATTGGCTGGTTAGAAAATTGCACATTTAACCAGGTGCATTTTTGTTCAAATAAACTGCTCAGTGAGTATACAGTATATCAAATTTCCCAATAATGCTTGCAAGATTTTTAAAAATTGTGATTTTTTTTTTTAAAATGCAGAGCTTTTTTTTTTATTATGGCGTAGCAATATTCCATGCTTTCCTTGGTATCTTTTTTTTTTTTTTTTTTTAGATTTCATGGCATTAAAAGGAACCTGTAAGGGTAGGCATACAGTGGGGACCCATATGGAAGAAAAACATATTTTTAAAAAATATTCTTCCCAAATATATTACTATATATTTGAAATACTACATTTTGGGCCATATTCAATATATTTAAAAAAAAAATATATGTATGTGTGTGTGTGTGTGTGTGTGTGTATATATATATATAGTTATATATATATTATTTATATATATTGCATGCTGAAATGCATTTTTATTACAAAATATATGAAAAATATTTTGAAATATATTTAATATGGCCAAAATTGTAATTTTTCAAATCTTCAGATTTTTTTTTTTTCACATATAAAAAAAAGTCATATTGACATATATTTTACATGTATTTGTAAATGCATTCTAAAAATGTAGATTTTGTATTTTTAGAGACATTACAGTATATTTGAAATGTATTTTAAAAATTTTTTTCATATATTTTGTATATATAAACTCATTTTCAACATGTATATATTTTTTTTAGTGAAATATATTGAATATGGCAAAAATTTTTTTTTTAGTTTTTCAATTCTTCAGTTTTTTTTTCAACATATAAAAATGTCATATTAACATATATTTTTACATTTTTTTGTAAATTTTTATTTTAAAAAAAATGTAGATTTGTATTTTTAGAGACATACAGTTTATTTTTGAAATATATTTTTTTAAAAATATTTTTCATATATTTTTTTAATTTTTTTTTTTTTCAATTATACAGTATCTATACATTATTGGAATGCATTTACAAATTTATGTTTTTTTTTTATTTTTTTAAAATGGCTTTTTTATATGTTAAAAAAAATTTTATTTTTTTTTTATTTTTATTTTTTTACATTTGTAAAATTTTTTTTTTTTTTTTATTTTGTAATTTTTTATTTTTTTTTTTTTTTTTTTTTTTTATTTTTTGTTTTATTTTTGTATTTATATATTTTTTATATATTTATTTTATTTTTATTTTTTTTTTTGGCATTTATTTAGTATTTTTTTTTTTTTTTTTTTATTTTTTCCCAAATACTTCAATTTCATTTTTTTCAGTATTTTTAAAAAAAAAGTTTTATTTATTATATTTTTTTTTATATTTACACACACACACACACACATTTTACACACTGTATGCTGAAAATGCTTTTTTTATATATTTATTTTTATTATATATTTTTATTATTTTTAAAAATGTTCAAAATTTTTTTTTAAATATAAAAAAGTCATATTAACATATATTTTTTTTTATTATTTTTTTTGTACATTTTTTGCATTCCATTTTTTGTAGATTTGTATTTTTAAAGACATGCAGTTTTATTTTTTTTTTTATTTTTAAAAATATTTTTCATATATTTTGTTTTAAAAAACGCATTTCAACATTTTTTATTTTTTTTTTTTTTTTTTTTTTTGCATTTACAATTTTTTTATATTTTTTTTTTATATATGTTAAAATTTTTTTTTTTTTTTTTATGTTAAAAAATTTTTTTAATAATATTTTTTAAAAAAAATATTTTTTTAAAAATTTTTTTCATTTTTTTTTTTTTGTTTTATATAAAAAACACATTTTTTTTTTTTTGTGTGTTTGTATTGTATATTTATATTATTTTATTGAATTGGCAAAATTGTAGTATTTAAAAAAAAATATTCGGAATTCTTTATATTGACATATTTTTGAATTACTACAATTTCATCCATATTCAATATATTAATTTTTTTTTTATTTATTTATATATATATACATACATATACATACACACTGTATGCTGAAATGCTTTTTTTTTGTGATTACAAAATATATGAAAATTATTTTTAAAAATATTTTTTTTTTTTAAATATTCTTTTTTTTTTTTTTAACATATAAAAAAAGTCATATTAACCTATGGTGGTATTCCCGATTGTAGCTCGGGGGGTAAATTTCATTTTACCACAAGCGGTATCCCCCGATTTTGCAGGCAGGCTTACCATGCGGCGTTTCAGGGATTCCCTGCAGCGCTTACATTGTCTTTTTTTTATTTTATTCGCTCCTGCGATTTTGTCCCCTGCAGCGTCCCCGGCCATCTCCTCTGGCCGATGTCGGCATTTATTTTTCCGTGTTCCGGTCCCTGCGAGCATTGGGACGTACGGAACATACAGGGGCCGGAACCGGCGGCAAATTCAAAAATTTTTTTTTTTTTTTTTTTGTCATTTTTTTAATAAAGGAATATGACATAGTAAATAACATTTTTTTCAACCCATTTTATTACATTTTGCCCCTACTGCTTTGTCCTTTTGTCCGGCCTATTTTTTTTTGACTGTTCTTTTGCCCGGAAGTTATTAAAAGTTTTTTTGGTGTCCAAAAAGCGTCCCTTTATGTCAAAATTTTTTATGACCGGCTAGATTTTTTTTTTTTTATAATAAAATCAGAAATTTTTTTGCAGAATTGAGTGATAATTTTTATTTCGTGGGGGGAAATTTGTTTATCTCATCGTTTCATTAATTTTTTTTTATTTTTTTTATTTTTTTTTATTCTGCGATTTTTTTTTGCTTTTTTTATTTTTTAATTTGGCGCTTATTTTTTTTTCAGTTTTTTTTTGGTTTTTTTATATTATTAAATTAAATTTTATTATTATTATATTATTATTTTTTTGATTATATTTTAAATATAATTTTATTTTTTTCGTTTTTCAAGTTGTATTACCCGGAATGTTTTTTATGTTTTTTGTTCGGACAGATTTCAGTGATTTTTATTTCCTTAAGAATTACATAAAATTACAATATAAAACGCCAAATTTCCATGCAAAATAATGTTTTTTTTCAGCACCAAAAAAATCTGAAATAATCTTTACCGCCAGGGAGGTTAACATAATATTTTTATTTTTATTTTTATTTGTACATTACATTCCAAAAATTTTAGATTTGTTTATTTTTTAAAGATATTTTTTATATTTGAAATTTATTATATTTTAAATATTTTTCATATATTTTGTAATAAAAAAATTAATTCTTCTATGTGGGTAATTATTTGATCCCCTTCAGATTTTGTAAGTTTTGCCCACTTACAGAGAAATGACGGCTCTATAATTTTTTATCACAGGTGTTTTTTTAAATGATAGAGACAGAATATCAACCAAAAATCCAGTAAAAACCCACCATACAGATATTATAAATTGAGTTGCAGTTGTTTTCTATCTAAACTTATTTTTTTTAAATCCCACAAGCTGAATTAGGAAACGCCAGCATGACTTTGGGAACTTCCCCGCTTGTCTTTGTGACTACGAATGACGACCCCAACGACCCAGCCTGAGCAGAGATTTACTGAGATCGGTGAGTCTTCTCCGCAACCACGGGACCCAGCATGATGACTGCGCCAGATTTGGTGATGGGATTAGTCACATATTGGGGGCAAATGAACTGATTCTCAAGCTGAGGGGGTACAGGGAAATATTTTTCCTAACTCATGTCTTGCACATCCCATTTCCAAGTGTTTTACCTGCCAGTTCCTCTGTGAAGAAGGCTCCGGTGACCTTTGTCAGAGGTGTGGGGCTAGGAGGTCGGCCCATTTTCTTAACCACCTCCCGTCCATCCCATGTATATAAACGGCCTCCCTGCCCCCTGCTTGTGCGCACTCCCTGGGAGCACACAGCACCGCGATCCAGTGCCTGCTGTGTCCTCCCTCGTACGGGACCTCTGTACGAGATCCTGATCATTGTGATCACTGATTGGCCAATCAGCAATCACATGCAGAGTAGTAAGCAAGATGTCACTTCTGACATCATTGCTTACTACGTGTGAAATCTGTGAATGATCACAGAGATCACGTGGTACAAGGACATTCACAACAGCCTCATGTACCATGTGACAAGCTGTGACCAATCACAGCTCACTCAGTAGTTCTCAATGGCTGCAAGAATGCAGCCAGAGCGAGAAGGAGAAATGATTGATTTTACAGCCTTTATGGGTGTAAAAGCAATCAGTGTAAAAAAAAAAATCTTCTATTTGACTGGTGACGACACTGTACTGCTAGGGTGACAGTATGTTAAAAAAATAAAATAAATAAATAAAAAATAATAATATAAAAAAAATGTAAAAAAAAAATGTTTAAAAATTATAATTTTTGGTTATAAACTAATTTTTTTACTAAAAAAAAATATAACAAAATAAATTTTGGCCAAGATTTATGATGAAATATTTTATTTATTTTTTGCAAAATTTTATAAGAAAAACACTTTTTTTCAAACTTTTTGGACATTTTAATTTACATAGCAAAAAAAAAAAAATCCAGTGGGTGAATAAATACCACCAAAATAAAGCTTTATCTGTCTCAAAAAAATGCTAAAAAATCCATACGGGTACAGTGTTGCATGACCGCATGCAATTGTCATTCAAAGTGTGATAGCGCTGAAAACTGAAAATTGGCCTGGACAGGAAGGGGTGTGAAAGTGTCCGGACAGGAAGTGGCTAATTGACCACCTGTGGGTAGGGTGAGGCTACAATAAAATGGCTGAGCCCTGTTCCATAAGAGTCTTCTTTTGTAAGCCCTTCCTCCTGGGTGAGGTCCTTCATCACTTCCTCTTCTGGAGACAATAGTCCTTGGGTAACCTCTGCACAAAGAGCCGTAGAGAAGGCTGTGCCTGGAGACCACATGGGCCATCACTGGGCTGGAGAAACACTAGAACCAGGGCCGTGGATAAAGAGGGTAACCACCCAGTCCTCCTGTACGGGGCCCAGGCCAGCAGGGGGGTCCAGGCAGCTGGGTGAATCGGATGTGGGCAGGGAAGGTGATTCAGCACAGTGTTGGGGGGGCAGTTACTGGAACCGATCCCCTGTATGGTGTTCTCCGCAGCAGCTGAAAGCCGGCTTATTCTCTCTTCCTTATTCCTCCGCTGGCTTTCAGAGAGCCATACAGGGGATCGGTTCCAATAATCGTCCCCTTCCTTTCCTGAATAACACAATGAGAGTGATTGGTACTGATCACTCACTGTGTTCATTCATAACTGAAGCATAGTAAACTGTTTTTGTTTTTTTTAGTGGGGCCCTGTCGGATTGATGTATGAAGCCCCGTGGCTTCTGTCAGCAGCCCCTGACTAGAACCTTCATTTTGTAGCTCCATAAGACGTTTCTGTGTGATGCTTCTAGAGCACATATGTCAAACACATGAATCTGGACCACCAGGCCATCAGTTCCTGTGCCCTCCCACCTCTCCTGCAGCTGCGGCACCCCCTCATCTCTGCCATCACCTTGTCTCAGCAGTAGGTAGCAGAGAGAAGGACAGAACTCCTTCCGCCAGATCCTGTGTTTCTCTGTACAGTGTTGGAAAGGTTTGTCTCTGCCCACCCCCCCCCCCCCCCCCGTCTCATCAGTCGGAAGCCAAGCAGAAGACAGAACTCCTCCGCCAAATCCTCTGCCTCTCTGTGCAGCCGCAGCACCCCATCATCTCCATCTAGGATTAAACTGATTGTTTGTGTCTAGGAAATGAGTAAAAAAGACCCTCCACTCTTCTGCCAGAGGCGCTCCCCCATGCTCCGGTGGTGGTCTGTCCCTTATTTTACTAAAGCTGGAGACAGTTGCAAAATCAGACTCATTTCTGCATAGAATCCAATCAGCTTCCAGTTTTATTGCCAAAGCTTAACGCGGTATGTAAACCACCATAAAAAAAAATTCCTGCAAAATATATTCATCGCTTATTAGAACATTATAAAAGACTTACCTTAGAATGAAGACCTCCAGCATGCGCTTGTCACCGCTTACAGGGCTTGCATCTACACCTCTGGCCGTTTTGATTGGATGCACGAGCCACGATGACATTCACTCAGAAGTCTCGGCCGTGGCACACTAGCTCTGAAGGAACGGCACGCCATTCCTGCATAGCGCATGCACCGATGAACGTCACCATTGCAATGACACTGAATATACTCCTTAAACTGTGCATGTGTAGCACACCCGTGGGTGTTAGCAATATATTGGTATATGATGTGGGTTTCACAGCTCTTACCTTATTAGGACTCGAGAAAGACGACACAGCAGAACCAATGAAACAATTTAACAACAAGATGGCTTTAAGAGAGAAAATTTCCCTGGGGGATTTATTCCATCTAGAAACAGGGTGCAAATATCAAGCGTAGTGAATCTTAGTAATCGTAAGTGTATTGGATAATCATGTATATTAACTTATGGAGACAGAAGATGTCCTATACCAAACAACACGATACAAATGGAGAAACAGAAAAAGGGCGCACCGACCTAGTGCAGTTATCGTTTTAAAATAATTTAATTGAAGAAACAAAATAGGTAATCATACTCCCAATGGACACATAATAACACAGGCATGTCAAACTGAACACAGATGTATGATCCAAACTACATCTGAGTCCATACGATGGACCCCTGGGATGCGATGACCAACTGGCTAACGCGGTTTCGAGGACACAACCTCTTCCTCAGAGCCAATACATTAACAAGTATAAATGTTTACTGCATAAAATAGTTACCAGCACTTAACCTATAAATGAGTGCCAAACACTCCCCTTGTCTCCTGATATCTGACCAGAACAAAAGGAGTTCCAAAAATGCAGTCTCTAGATGGGGCCCGTTGGAGCTCTTTTTATCATAGGTGAACTGTTAAAACAGAATGTGGCTGATTTCATCAGCATATCCTACGAAAAAATGTCTTTGAAAAATATTAATAGTAGCAAGCCTGCCTGGGGTAAATGGCTTGTTCTCACTTCAGCACATATCTCTCATTTAGGGATTTCTCTGTAATTTCACTGTCCTCCGATATATGTATTCAGAACTTTTTGCAGACACCAAAGAGAGACACACTCGACACTCTTAAACTATCTCTGGTGCTGGTAAATCAGTACAGAGCCACTTGGCGGGAAATTCCACCTGGGTTATCTCTCTCCTGTGTCAGTGTGGTCTCTAAAAATGCGACTCAACCCTCAGAGTAACACCCTGACCTCATGGTGGAGGTGAGTTGCAGACAACAGTACTCACGTCCTATATGATCTTTCACTCAGTCACAGTTCAAACTGTTGTCAGCCTCTATTCCTCGCCAGTCCTCTAAGGTCCTGCAGAGCTGTCTCTGGTGTCTCCAACAATGACAACGGTTCCTCTTTTTCGCCAGCCCCTCCCGTACTGACCTTCACCACCTCACTTTTCCGCACCAAATAGTCTCCCTCTCCCCCTCCCCTTTATTCCTGTACTCCTCCCTCCTAGACTTCCTGTGCCAAGGGGGTGGGGGGGGCCAATCATAGAGCTGGATCTGGAACTGTTGCTTAGTGGCATCTATGTGGCGAATAGATATTGCATCAATTCACATACGGTACTATATTATTGTCTGCAGTTTCTATTATTGGTAATAAGAGGTGTGTTACACATGGTTAGGAGATACTGCTTCTACCCACAGGTGAGATTTACTATTATTTTCCTGTAGGTACAAGTGTTCCAGGAGGAGTTTACTTCCACTTTAACTGACAAAAGCTGACGTTGGAAGCTGATTGTTTTCTATGCAAAGTCTGATTTTGCACTCTCCAGCCTCTAGACAATATTAACCCCTTGGTATCATTATGTCTGATGCAGAGCTTTGGGACCCTGCAATCGGTCTTGATTGACGTCAGAACCTTAGGCCGCTGAACATGGGGAAAGAAGAAGCTGCAGGGATCGTTTTTAGCGCAGCACAGAGTAGAAAGAAAAACATAAGTTTTTATTCACTCGCCCTCCAGAGGATTTTCGCCCCCTTCCATGACCAGGCCATTTTTGCGATCACTATTAACTTGAAAATTGCGCGCAGTCGTGCAATTTCTGTACACCAGTTACGGGCACTTATACCCACCCCCCTTTGGCACCAGGCCAATTTTCCAGCTTTCAGCACTGTCGCAAATTTGAATGTCAATTGCGCGGTCATGCAACACTGTACCCATCATGACATTTTTAGCTCTTTTTTCCCACAAAATAGAGCTTCTTCCGTTCGGTGGTATCTGATTCCCCTGTGCATTTTTTAATATTTTTTTTGCGCTATAAACAAAAAAAGACCAACAAATTTTGAAAAAAAAAAATACAATAATTTTGACTTTTTTGCTATAAAAAAAACGTATCCAATACACGCGTTCCCAAATTATTATGCAAATTCTATTTTAAGTGTCACAAAGATTAAATATTTTGTTTTTTCATTGTAAACTCATGGATGGCATTGTGTGTCAGGGCTCTTTTGATACACTGTAAAACAATCTGGGACACCTGTGATAATTAGATTGGCCGGTGACGCCCCAAGTTAAGGAAAAACTACTAAAGGAGGTGTGTTCCACGCATTAATTAAGTCCAGAGCACCATTTTCAAGCAATATGGGGAAGAAAAAGGATCTCTCTGCTGCCCAAAAGAGTGAAAATACGTTCGATGCCTTGGACTAGGGTATGAAAAAACATTCGATATTTCACGAAAACTTAAGCGTGATTCATCGCCTATAAGAGAGATTTGTGGCTGATTCAGAGCACAGACGGTTGGTGCAGATTAAAGGCACATTGAGGAAGATTTCTGCCAGATCCATGCATCGGATCAAGAGAGCACTGCTAACATACCATTACATAGCGCAGCAAACAGATATTTGAAGCTGCTGGTGCCTCTGGAGTCACCACCGGACATCAAGCGTGTAGAGTCCTCCAGAGTCCTGCAACTGTGCATAAAACCTTCTATTCGGCCACCACTAACGCAATGCTCACAAGCAGAAACGAGCTGCATTGGGCAGAAAAAAATAACATGAAGACTAATTTTTCAAACAGTCCTGTTCACTGATGAGTTGCCGTGGCAACGCTGGAATGGTCCAGATGGATGGAGTAGTGAATGGTTGGTGGACGGTGCCACCCTGTTTCCAACAAGGCTGCGACGTTCAGCAAGGCGATGGTGGAGTCATGTTTTGGGCCGGAATCATGGGAACAGAGCTTTGTCGGCCCCTTTAGGGTCCCCGAAGGTGTAAAGATGACCTCTGCAAAGTATGTGGGAGTTTATGACTGACCACTTTCTTCCCTGGTACAGAAGGAAGAACTATGCTTTCCGTAAATAAAATCATCTTCATGCATGACAATACACCATCTCATGCTGCAAAGAATACCTCTGCATCAATGGCTGCTATGGGGATAAAAGGAGAGAAAGTCATGGTGTGGCCTCCATCCTCCCCTGACCTCAATCCTATTGAGAACCTTTGGAGCTATTCCTCAAGCAAAAGATCTATGAGGGTGGGGGGCAGTTTACACCCAAACAGCAGCTCTGGGAGGCTATTCTGACATCTTGCAAACAAATTCAAGCAGAAACTCCAAAAACTCCCAAGTTCAATGGATGCAAGACTTGTGATCTGCTATCAGATAAGGGCTCCTATGTTACAATGTAACGTGACCGCTTCAAATGTTTACAAAGTTAAAAAATGTTGTTAAAGTTTGATTGAAATAGCTTTTGATTTCAGTAAATATGCTGCAAACACAACAAATTACAATTTTCAGTTCTTTACAACCTATAAAGTGTTTTTTGAAACTTCCTGTGCGGAATAATTTGGAACACAAATCCTGTTATCATAGGAGGTTTTGTTCAATAAAATGTGAATTGTACTCTTATAGTTTTGTAACATGAGAATTATGCCGACTGATATTTACATCAATTATTGAGGAAATGAGAAAAAATATAATTTGCATAAGAATTTGGAACACGGTGTTGTAAATTAAATTTCGTCATAAATTTAGGCCAAAATGTATTCTGCTCCGTGTCTTTGCTGAAAAAAAAAAATCCCTATACGTGTAAACAGGGGCGGACTGACCATTTGGAAACTTGGGGCACTGCCCGAGGGCCCGGGGGTCAGTAGGGGGCCCCATGAGATGCCTCTGGTAACCTTTTTCATAGGGCTATTTTTAATTTGGGCAAGGACACAGGGGCCCATGATCCCCTTAGTAGTTGTCAGTCCGCCCCTGCGTGTAAAATTATTATTAAATTCACGTGAAAATTATAGTGTTTACAAATGGCGGTATATATATACTGGGATTTGTTTCTTTATATTAGTAATGGGCGGCGATCTGCGACTTATTGCGGGACTGCTGGCGGGCATTCTGACACTTGAGGGTAAATGACTGACATGCCACTGACATCTCCAGTGACAACCAATGCAGTGATCAGTGCTAATAAAAAGCACCGACACTGGATTAATGTCACTGGGCAGGAAGGGGTTTTACGTTCTGGTCATCCCGGTGCGATCAAAGGGTTAATTGTGGTGCTGCGTGTTTTTACTAGGGAGACATGCTGTGCAGATAAATACACAGCAGCATGTCCTTGCTGACAGGGAGAGAGCTGTGTTGTTTGCACACAGGTCCTCTCCCCTGTCAGCTTTACCCAGCAATTGCCGTGTGGCGGCCAGGAATCGCCAGCCAGGACCCAGTGATAGACATCCCTAGCCATCAATGGGCGGTTGCTGCGCGCCGCCCCTACTTTGAAATGCAAAGTGCGTATATATACGTGATTCTGCGCAGGGGCCCTGCCACCCTGTAGCAGTACTTCTACTATAGGGCGGTCAATAAAAGCGCTAAAATTACTACTCACCATCCATGCCCCCTAGACCTAAATGAGCAGCTATCCTGTGTAGCGCAGACACAACCTCTCTGCAAAGAGAAATGTCCACGTTATCCTGGAATTGGGCTTTAAAATTTGGCAATATGTACTTCCACTTGCCACCATGGGTACGGTCTCCCTACAACCCTCTGGTCACTTTGTAATATTGTTCACCTGTGCCTGGCTGTTGGCACTTCTATAGTCCCTTCCCCCCTCCCTGCCAGCTGTCTCAGCTCTCTGTCAACAACTCATTGTACCGATTGTATCAATCTCCTCTTACTAGAAAAAGTATGTGAAACCCCTTGGGATTACGTGAAGTTTTGCATGAATTGGGCATAATTGTGCTCTGAACGTCATCTAAGTTACAACAATAGAAGAACACATTCTGCTGAACATAATACTACACAAAACATTAGATGTTGCCATGGTTGTTTTAATTGCACATAACATGTAAACATTCACAGTGCAGGGAGGAAAAAGTATGTGAGGCCCTAGCTTAATGACTTCTCCCAGAGCTAATTGGAGCCAGGAGTAAGCCAACCTTGACTCCAATCAGTGTGATGATATTGGATGTGTTGCTGACAGCTGTCCTGCCCTTAAAAAAACACACACCTGTTTTGGGTTTACTGGTTTCAAGAAGCACTGTCTGATGTGAACCATGCCTCGCAGAAAAGAGCTCTCAGAAGAACTACGATCAAGAATTGTTGACTTGCATGAAGCTGGAAAGGGTTACAAAAGTATCTCCAAAAGCCTTGATGTTCATGTGTCCACGGTAAAGACAGACTGTCTACAAATGGAGATAAAGTTTAGCACTGTTGCTACTCTCCCTAGGTGTGGCCGTCCTGTAAAAATGACTGCAAGAGCACAGCGCAGAATGCTGCATGAGGTAAAGAGAAGAATCCCAGAGTGTCAGCCAAAGACCTACAGAAATCTCTGGCACACTGCTAACATTTTTGTTGGACACATCTACAATAAGGAAAACATTAAACAAGAATGGGGTACATGGGAGGACACCACGGAGGAAGCCATTGCTGTCCAAAAAGAATATTGCAGCACGTTTGAAGTTTTGCAAAAAGAGCACCTGGATGTTCCACAGCACTACTGGCAAAATATACTGTGTGGACAGATGAAACCAAGATTGAGTTGTTTGGGAAGAACACATAACACTATGTGTGGAGAAAAAAAGGCACAGCACACCAACATCAAAACCTCATCCCCACTGTAAAACATGGCGGAGGGAGCATCATGGTTTGGGGCTGCTTTGCTGCCTCAGGGCCTGGACGGATTGTTGTCATTGATGGGAAAATGAATTCCAGAGTTTATCAAAACATTTTGCAGGAAAACGTACGACCATCTGTCCGCCAACTGAAGCTCCACAGAGGATGGGTGATGCAACAGGACAATGACCCAAAGCATACAAGTAATTCAACAAAACAATGGCTGCAACAGCACAGAATACGCCTTCTGGAGTGGCCCAGTCAGAGTCCAGACCTCAACCCGATTGAAATGCTGTGGCATGACCTTAAGAGAGCAATTCACACCAGAGATCCCAAAAATATTGCTACACTGTAAACAGTTTTGTGAAGAGGAGTGGTCCAAAATTACTCCAGATCGTTGTGCAGGTCTGACCTGCAACTACAGGAAACGTTTGGTTGCGGTTATTGCTGCCAAAGGAGGGTCAACCAGTTATTAAGTCCAAAGGTTCACATACTTTTTCCTCCCTGCACTGTGAATGTTTACATGTTATGTGCAATTAAACCATGGCAACATCTAATGTTTGTGTAGTATTATTTTCAGCAGACTGTGTTCTTCTATTGTTGTGACTTAGGTGATGTTCAGAGCACATTTTTATGCCCAATTCATGCAAAACTCCACGTAATCCCAAGGGGTTCACATACTTTTTCTTGCAACTGTATGAGACTCATTACCATGCAAAGCAAGATAGTTCAAGCCGTGATTTGTCATCATTGTGATGATTATGGCTTACAGCTCATGAAAACCCCAAATCCACAATCTCAGAAAAATGAGAATATTCCATGCAATCAATAAAACACGGATTGTACATAGAACAATATCGCACCTCTGAAAAGTAGAAGCTGCATATGTACTCATGACTTGGTTTGGGCCCCTTTTGCAGCAATTACTGCCTCAATGCGCCCATGGCATGGAAGCTATCAGCCTGTGGCACTGCTGAGGTGTTATGGAATGACCAGGATGCTTCAATAGCGGCCTTCAGCTCTTCTGCATTGTTCGGTCTCATGTCTCTCATCTTTCTCTTGCAATGCCCCATAGATTCTCTCTATGGGGTTCAGGTCAGGCGAGTTTTTGCTGGCCAATCTAGCACAGTAATCCCACGGTCATTGAACCAGGTTTTTGGTGCTTTTGGCAGTGTGGGAGGTGCCAAGTCCTGCTGGAAAATGAAGTCAGCATCCCCATAAAGCTCGTCACACTGGACTTCAAGCATCTTGCAGTGTGGGCCTCTCCATTCTTCCTCCATACTCGGGGTCCTTGGGCCCTCTCCATTCTTCTCTCCATACTCGGGGGTCCTTGGGCCTCTCCATTCTTCCTCCATACTCAGGGTCCTTGGTTTCCAAATGAGATGCAAAAGTGCTCTCATCAGAAAAGAGGACTTTGGACACTGAGCAACAGACCAGGTCTGTTTTTCTTTAGCCCAGGTAAGATGCTTCTGACGTTGTTTGTTGTTAAGGAGCGGCTTGACAAGAGGAATACGACATTTGAAGCCCATTGTCCAGGATCCGTCTGTGTGTGGTGGCTCTTGATGCACTGACTCCAGCCTCAGTCCACTCCTTGTGAAAGTCCCCAACACTTTTGAATCGCCCTTTCCTGACAATCCTCTCCAGGCTGCGGTCATCCCTGCTACCTTTTTCTTCCACACTTTTCCCTTCCACATAACTTTCTATTAATGTGCTTTCATACAGCACTTTGGGAATATCCAACTTCTTTTTGCAATTACCTTTTGAGGCTTTCCCTCCCTATGGAGGGTGTCAGTGATGGTGTCAGGTCAGCAGTCTTTCCCATGATTGTGATTCCTACTGAACCAGACTGAGAGACCATTTAAAGGCTCAGGAACCCTTTGCAGGTGTTATGGCTTTAATTAGCTGATTAGAGTGGGACACTTTGAGCCGAGAATATTCCACCTTTTCACAATATTCTCATTTTCTGAGATTGTGGATTTGGGTTTTTCATGAGCTGTAAGCCATAATCATCACAATGATGACAAATCACGGCTTGAACTATCTTGCTTTGCATGTAATGAGTCTCATATATTAGTTTTTCACCTTTTAAGTTGCTGCACTGAAATAAATGAACTTTTGAACCATATTCAAATTTTTTTGAGTTTCACCTGTAGAAGAAGGCGTACCTCGGTTTACGAACCCTCGGTTAACTTAATTTTTCGGTTTACGAATGAAAATCCATTGAAAATAATCCCTCGGTTTACAATTTTTTTTTCGCAATACGAATTGAATTAATTGATTTTCAGTGCATTTACAATTTCTATTTTAATCATGTCCCTGTACAGTATTTATGCCTTTAAAGTGCACCTTATAAAGAGTTTTGCACAGTATAAGACTTTTCTGACCCTCTGAAAGGGATTAATTGGCTTTCAATGCATTTTAAAATTCATTTTTAATCATGTCCCTGTACAGTATTTATGCCTTTAAAGTGCACTCTATAAAGAGTTATGAACAGATAAAAGACTTTTTTGTCTTTTTTTTCTGACCTCCGGAACGGATTAATTGGTTTTTTAATGCATTTACAATTTTTTTTTTTAATCGTGCTCCTTTATGCCTTTAAAGTGCACTTTATAAAGAGTTTTGATACTGGAATAAAAGGACTTTTTTGACTTTTTCTGACCTCCAGAACGGATGATTAATTGGTTTTCCAATGCATTCCTATCGGAAAAACCGCAGTTACAATTTACAAATTTTTTTCGCAATATGAAAAGTCCGCAGAACAAA